GGCCCTGCGCGGTCCGCTTGCAGAGAACCGCGCGCGCCAGCTCTTCGCTCCGAGGGAAAGAAAGCGTGCGGGAGACGGCCGGCTGGAAAAACCTGCCACCAAAGCTTTCACTGTTTTCTAAATGGGGATGGAGAGAAGGGTATGAAAATAAATGGCATTACTTCCACGCTGGCAACGAAAGGAAATGAAAAAGAGATTGGAAGGAAGTTAGAATCAGAAACCAGGAGTGCCGGTGAATACTTTCATATCAAAAAGCAGTTTTCAGAAAAATGATACCAATATCATGGTCAGGGGGAGCACAAAATTCATATCAGTGGCTCTGGCTTCAATAACCACGGCCGAGATGGAAGATAGCCAGAGCTCGGAGATAAGGCTGTCGGCGGCGCGAGCCCTGCCGGCCCAGCCCCATCCCCGTGCCGGTCCCCCGGCCCCCAGCCCTCGGGAAGCGGGTCAGTCCGGCCCCGGTCTCTTGGTCGCGATCCTGGCCCCGGGAAAGCGGGTCAGTCGGGCCCCAGCCCCAGCCATGAGCCCGGGCCCCGGGCCCGTTCCGCGGTCCCGGCCCCCATCCCCGGCCCCCACCCCGGCCCCCACGCCGGCCCCCACGCCGGCCCCCACGCCGGCCCCCACGCCGGCCCCGGGGAAGCAGGTCCGCCCGGCCCGAGACGGACCTGGCCGAGTTCCCTCTCACGGCCGCTAGAGGGCGCGATGCTTTCATGGAAAACGTGGGCCTGTTTTTCTCTCAGAATGTAAGCTGGGAACACGGCATAATGACTAAAACCTCAATCTCTCAAATTAAGCATAATGATTAAAGATCACAGCAAAGAGAAAATCTTTTAGTTTGCCCCTGGCATCGGCCAAATCATATCCTGAATAGCTGCAAAAGCCTGATGGATTTCTACAGCAAAGATAATGATTTGAGAGATTTCTAGTTGAGGGTAAGAAAAATGAAAACTAAAGCTGGGGAGATAAACCCCGGGCAGGGGCAAACTAACACCAGGCCGCCCACCGTCACCACCAAATGCACTCGGCACCGCGCAGAGCACGTCGCAAAGCACGTGGCACGCCTGGGGAAGGGGACTTTAGCTCTTTATTCAAAGCTTTAGCTCTTTTAGAACCGGGCACACCTTTAACATCTCTCCGGCCAGCACAAGCCAGGATTAAATAAGTCCTTCACGCACAAAATGACGTGCAGAAAGCAGCCACCTTGGGGGACGTTTTTATCTAATAATCGTCTCGTCTGGGTGAGACCTTTCCGTGTCTGTCTCTGTCGCGTCATTTTCTTTAGAAGCTGAAGTGCATACACCACGCTGTGCCCTGCAGAGAGGGCTACACTCAGAATGTTCAGAAAAGCTCTGGCAAAAACTCTTCCGATTAACAGGAAAATATTGAAGAGTGGGTGATTCATCTTTTATTTGGTTCGAATAAATTGCCTTATAGAACAGCAGAACACACTAATTCCACAGTGACTCGAGCCCTGTCTGCATCTGAAAATGAATGTCTCCCCGGAGACCGTGGTATTTGTAACTTAGAGCTTTGGAATTCACTTTATCCCTTAATAAAAACATAATCTCTTTATCCGAAAGAACACTATTACTGCTAGTTTAGAAATCAATTATAAGGTAGGAAAATTAAGAATTATTCCATCTAATTTGCCTTCTCATATCCCCAAACAGGTTTTACTTACTCTGCTAGTTCATATCGAAACCTCCAATTCCTGCTGTTATCGGTCACTACAAATTCTTGAAGCTGATAAAGATATTCTCTCCTCTTGTCTTCATGAAGCAACTATTTTTTAAAAATGTATACATAAATAAAAATAGAGAATCTCTCAAAATGACCCCAAATACACTGTCTGATCACACTTGAAGTTATACACTTGTTCCCGGCAAGAACTGGGCATTCCCCTAATGCCTTGAACTCCATCCATCACCCAGGGTGGCTGTGAATTAACATTGCTGGGAACAGACCTCACAGGGACCCCTGAATGCTTCCAACCTTTCCCCCGGTTAGTGTATGTGCTTGTGTGTTTCCACATGCCCCCAGCTCTTACTTCTCTCATCATTTCCTGCCTGCAAACAACACGTATGTGTGTGTGTTCCGAAGACAACGCCGCGGCTGCTTCCCGGGGAGCTGGCTCTGCTCGTGTATGCCGGCACCACGAGAGAAAAGCCAACCCAGTGCATCATGCAGCCCAGTCTGTCAAGGGCAGCTCGTGGTCATGTGGATGCAAGTAATTAGTTTCTCTAGGTCATTTTTAAAGTCTTATTTTTACACTCATCATTCCTTTAGGAAAAAAAATTAAAAAGGCAAGCAGGGAAGCAGCAATGTCTTGCAGAGAAAGCCCTTCATGCAGAACTGAGATTGGGTTTCGGCTGGGCTCTTCCCCTGGGTGACTCCGGGCACGTTGCGCACTACCCCCGGGGGTCCTGGGCTCCTTCTCCCTCACAGAGCATGCTAGGCTACGTGTCTGCCATCCTCCACAGAATTAGGGCTTCAAGGGACAGGGAGATTACGAGGAAAGATATAAAAATATTTACCCATCACTGAAAGAACACCCACTGTAAAGACTCTGGATGGTATAGTTCAACCGGAGAAACCCAGACTAGCTGCTTTCTGTTGTCCATGGACACTTTTCCACAGCCCGGCTTTAAGAATTGTTTTGAAGAGGGAAGGTTTGTTTTTTATATGTAATCCTTCTTCCTACCTTTAGAAAATCATACAGGTGTTTAAGAATTCCTATTCGTACTTCATCCAGGTCCTTTAAAAATCCATTGAAGACGGGCACCAGGTCAGCTGCTGTGAGCTGGTCCCCGAGAATCACGGCCAGCTCGTGGATGGAGAAGGCCAGGGTCCGACGCACCTTCCACTGGTGGTGCACAGGAGGCCAGACAAACCAAAGAAAGCAAGCACAAGGCCATGTTACCAAGAGTGTTAAGTGGCGCTTCTAGAATAAACCTGACACTGCCGGGCGCTGGCCGCCACGGTTCATTTCATCGGAGCCCCATCAATACGGCAAAGGCACCCGCAGCAAATACAGGCCAGTGAGCCCCGCCGCGCTCGCCTTTTCTTCCCCGGCAGAGGGGCCACCCCATTTCCATGGGTGCCTCTGAAAGGGCTCCTTTTACCTGCACGTCGGAAGCCAGCGTTTCGTATGTGTCTCTCAGGCAGTGCCAATTTTGCCTGCCCAGGGTGAGCGCCACCCCGGGGAGGCTGTAGGCGCAGTGTTTGGCTATGTCAATGTCGACAGTCTGGGCGCGAGCAGGGTCGGTCATCGACACATACTGATCGAGCAGGGGTTGAGGTATTACATCCTGGGAAACAGCAGAGAAAGGAAACCATCATGCTTGCAGGAAAGAAGGAGAATACTCGGGAAAAACAAGGGGTCTGGGACTTGGGGGTGAAAACAGCAAAGCAGAGATGTCAGGGGAAGAAGAGGCCTCTGAGAAGCTCGGGGCTCTGGACTGGCGGACTTCTTGGTCTGCAGGTGAAATTTTCAACTGGGACGGAATGATGCTAAAGCAAGGCCCACACTAATCTTTTCCCAATTCGTCTAACATTTGATATCCCAGAGAACAGTGTGGGCACCAAGGTTTGGTTAGCCTGATGCACACAGCTCTTGAAAATGGAAACACTCTTCCCTTGTAGCTGCCCAGCACCTAGAGCCCCGGCCCGGACACACCGACTGTCACTAGCTTTTTCCAACTGACGGGACAGCGCCTTCCTATGACATCACTCACTTACCTTCTCTTCCGTCAGGACAAGGGGATATGATAATTTAAAACATTTAAGAGTTCTTACATAGCACAAGAGCCTAGCCACAAGACAGAACAAAGACAAACACAGGTCAATCAAAGAATCTGTCAAAACCTTTTCAGACAACAACAAAAAAAACCCTGAAATGACTTGTATAAATAGACACTAAATGCTAATGTACAGATGTCAGGTTTTTCCTCCTATTTGACTTGTTTTATTAAAATACTATTCTAGATTGTTCAAAAGAGACTTTAGTACTCCTTTAGAATTTGTTTTTTAATAAGTTAGAGAGGAAATTGTAGCAACACAAACGAGTGAAGCTATGTCATTAATATTGACGGAAGAAAAATATCTGGTTCCCATGGCCATTCTTAAATTTGACTCCCAGAAAAGGTGACGTTTTGAGCTGCTTTTCTTTTCAAGGAACAAACCTGTAATTTAGATTTATTCTCCTCAAGTGGGGCGGGGAGATGCCTCTGCTCCATCTCCAGCTGGTCAACGGCCCCACCGCAGGGTTTGCCAGGGTCCTGCAGAGTTGATTGGACACGTGAGCAACTTACCCCAAACAGAGAGCCATCCTACCACTCTCCCTTCAAAGAATCGTCTTTCGGTGCTGGAAATGACAAGTCAGGGGTCTCTCTCCAGATGTTAAAAAAGACATCTGCACAGGTATAGATGACATGGTCAGTGATTTTAAGGGCCAAGGCAAACAGATATCATGCATTTTCATCTCAAGACTGCTTGAGGCCCTTAAAGAAGACAGGCTGGATGTCCATGAGGAGCGACCACTTGAGTCTGCACTGACCATTCTTTAAGTCCCAGCGTCCCAGGGTGGTTAACCAACCCCCTTTTAAGAGTCACACGATTAAGACAGAGACCACCCCAGACGGCAGGGCGAGCAAGCACGTCCAGTATTTCTTCGGAGCTGGAGATGTGCAGCAATGTGGACCCGTCAGGGCGGATGGACAGGCAAGGAGAAGACCTGTCTAATTTGGGGGAAGGCGTGGCCGATAAAGGAGTATTTACCTGGAAAACTATCCTCGATTTTCACATGTACAAACACTTCTAATGTTTGCTGATGAACCTTTACAGTAGGTTAACAATTAAAATGAGCACGAACACTCAACAGTGACATATTGGTCTCTGATCATTGATTACATTAGCGGAGATGGACCTGACCTTCTCCTCCACCCGTCACATGGGCTCCCACGTGCACTTGAAATGTCATACTGTCTACCAGCTTAATGGATCCTGACAAATCAGCTCAATATATGATCCAGGAAAGTCGATTAATACACCGATAGATGCTTCGTTTGCTCGGAGGCACACTACCACGGCCTTCAATTCCCAAGATTTTCACTGAAATATAGTGCTTATTTTAATAGAGGACAGGATAAAACAAATATTTTGGCATGATAACCTAAGACCTCAATTTCTCCAAGTTCATAAATTCATATATATTAATGTGTAATAAATCATTATTCTTCTTTCGGGAGTTAACCTGGTTCCAAAATCTTCAGTGCAGTTGGCATGAACAGCACTTACTCCAGGAGCCACGTTAATGGTTAAGTACACTACCACAGGCCAAAGCCACCTCCAAAGGCATTGTGAGGTCATCCCCCCCAGAGAACCACCGGGCAGCCAAAAGACACAGGTGAGAAGCAACACACCTCCCCTCCCCGCCCTGCACAGGGCATCGCGCAACTCAGATGATGCACTAAGAAGGCAGGATAGAAGCAGGGAGCAGGGTCAACGTCAAGGAGCCGAGTTAACCAGCCCCCTGGCCTCAGCCGCTCTTCTGTCGTCTCTACGAGACAACACCATCCTCATCATTTAAGCTCTCGGAGTTTTTTGGTCCCTTTTCCTTCTTTTGCAACTGGATGCATCCTGACTGATCCCAGTGGAACCTAAGAATCAAGCTGCAAATTCAAGAGCCCTGACATCCCACAACATAAACCAAAGGTCTGCTTGCACCAGCCCTTCAAAATCCTTCATGCAACAGAGCCAACTTGGAGGAATCTGTTCGTTTCCCTTTCTCTCACTTCTGCACGTGACAAAGAAGCCCCAGTCCGATCAGGTCTCCGCCACAGTAGACGTGGCCACGCCTTTCTACCTAACATGTGATTTCCACATTCCAGGCAGCACGGGTAACAACAACCATTTTCTTGCCTATTTCTGAAAACAAACCAGCAAAATAGGATATCCCCTCATTTCTTACTAATCGAAGACAACTGTCAGCAACTCCTAAACACTTTATATTCAGGCTTTTAAGTGGGTCTTTTGTTTTGTTTTATTGGAACAGGCCTAGAGGGGAAGGGAGGTGGTAAGTTCATTTGGTTGCTAAGATAGAATTATCCACTGCGTGGATGGTGGAGCAATTGGTACTCTGGCCTTCAAGACCACGGGCTGGAAGAGATGATCCATCATGGCACAGGAAGTGAGGAGATGCCAACATGCCCAGGACTTTATGATCTTGGACCCCACCCTGATTTTAATTCTCTAGCCTCGCCCCCACCTGGGAAGGACCCCAGCTCAAAGTGGTCAGAGCAAGTCACTAGGAGTGAGGAAGGCATCAGAGCCTCCCAACCCCTCGCGAGCTGGAAAGCTAGGGAGACTTCAAGTGCGAGAGAGTTGTGGGCCCCTCCTCTCCCTGGATGTGTCTCACGGGGGCTAGTTCCAGGTTGCAGGATAGAAGCCACTGAGCCGCTGGCTTTTCCAAGTCTCTCCTCCAAGAACAGCAGGCCAGTATCACTACTGGGGTGACCACGTGCCCAAAGAGCGTCTCCAGAGCGAGGGCCTGACACGGTGGTCCGCCTGCTGAGGCCGAGGCCGGCTTTCAGTTCTAGGAGCCGCGGAACCCACCTTGTGCTATTATGACTAAAAGCTGTAAAACAGCAGTGAAATCGGGCACTTAGATGGTTAATCCCCACAAAGAACTGAGTCTCGACATCTTTGGAGAAGAGGGAAGGTACTCGTTGGTCTCTCCTCTCCTTAGGAGAGTCAGGGTTATCAATCACCTGATTGATTGGTTGTCTAGTTATCCAAAACATGACCTTAAGAATAAAATTAAATTTGCCATTTATCATCTCTGCCAGGATATATTAATAAAAGAAAATGCAGCTTTGTGATTTCTGTCACATCGTCTGGGCAGAGGGAGAGGGCAAACACTTACTGTGCTTTGTAATATCCTGGGCTCGGAGAGCTCCTTCTGCGATGATGAAGCCGACAGAGCCGTCTGATTGTCCGAGGCAGGGCTGGGGTCGAAAATGGACCCCTCATGCCGACCTTCCATCGGCTGGTGCTCAGGCTCATTCACAGAGTCAAGCTGTGCGGCTCTCAGAGCAGCTGATAAGACCTGGACCTGAGCTGCAGGAAGAGAAGTTCCAAGAATTTTAATAACTTTATTTGATTTGTAGGGATTCACTTGAGAAGGATCTTCACAACAAGACAGTCTGGATGCAGGCGCACCACACACGTGCGCACCTTCCACACATCTGTCCCTGCAGTAAGCATGCTCTGGAGTCCCAGAATGAGCTCTTGGGGAGGTGGTGATATTTAGGGCCATTAACTTTAACTATTCCAACTAAACGCCAGCCATGCACAGAGCATCAAATCTGAACTCGAAACGCCTCAATGAAGACAATTAGAGTTTGCTTCCATCATCTCTCACAGAAAGACAACACACTGTTCCTGAAGGCCAGTGTCTGGGAGGTCCACCTACTCGGTGAGGGGGTCCTGCTCCCCCATGTATAAAGGAGGATTGCTGCCTTCTCCGCACCTCCTGCCCAATGCACAGAAATCGATCCATCTCCGTACACACAGATGAGTACAGATCTTGCTCACCAAGCCCCAAGGACTATTCATTTGTCCACAGCATGACTGCTTGAGACCCTCCTAACAGCAGAAATGACATATTTCACACACCTTTCTATAAAAACAATCTGATGTGCGTGTCCCCAACCTCCAAACACACACACATACACACAATAGTTCCTACATCCTGTTTTCTACGAGGTAAATTCAATAGACCTTAAGATTCATTAAAATGTTTAGAGCTCATAGCTGGCTCCCCACTCGGCCCAGGACAAGGTCCCACCTCCTTAGTGTAACCCATCAGGCCCTTCGCAATGGCCCAAGTCATGTTTCCAGCTGCAGCCAGTCCACAAGTCCCCAGTGTGTCGTTTATTTCTGAAACTTTCGGGGTCACGGATCCCTCTGAGCTCTGATGAAAGCTATGAAAATGAGGCACACACGTATGCGCAAAATTTTACAAACAATTTCAAGGGACTGGAAAGAACCCTCTGACACATCCCTCCCCACTTCTCTGCATGGTGGGTTCCGAGCTGTCGTCTTTTGGGGCCCACGTGAAATGCCGCTCCCTCTGCAAGGTCTTCTCCCAGACATTTCCTCTGGCCCCAGGCGTCCTGCCCTGTGCCGCCACAGCACGTCCCGCCGCCTCCCGGCCCGGCCCCAGCCACACCCTGTACCAATGGTGGCTTACGGAGCCCCCTCCACGAGACCGTGTGCCCGTCACTGCTGCCCCAGCATCCAGCCCAGGGCCCACCACTGAGATGAATGCTGCTTTAGAAATGCGGTTTCCAAAACCAGAAACCAAAACCTTTGTCTATAGCTATTAGAAGTGATATGTTACATGTGCTCATTCCTTTGGCAAACATTGACTTATTTTCCTTTATAAATTTAAAGAGAAAGAATAATCACAGGGCTAACTGGATTTTCACATTTCCTTTCCCGAAAGCTTCACAAATCTTTGCCCAGCAACAGCAGCAAGTGTTGTTTTTCCCAATCTCCCCAACCCAAGGAAGAATACAAATATAGCACTGTTTAGAGCAAGAAGAGGCATGATAATGGATATGGATCGCAAGGCCCGGCTCCCAGATCAGACGCTCAGTGGGAGCACTAGTCATAACATGAAAAACACCCCAAAGAAGAAGTTGTACTTTCCCTTGCTGTACAAAGACAAAAACCTTAAAGTTTGGCTAAGGGCCGAGTTAATAAGCTCCAAAAGGAGCACCATCCTTAGCTGTTAATAACGAGAAAAAGCACTATAACGTGGAAAATGATGTAACAGCATCCAAGCAGCTAATAAAATTTCCACTGTTATAGATATGCCCACAAACTCTGCCTTTCTATTAGGGCTGCCTTCAGCCTTGCATAACTGCAAAACAAGGAGGCAGAACCCTTTCGGGGCCCTGCACAGAGGTCCCCAGGGCTCTGGCAGTGCTGAGGCTGAGACCCTCTCCTGGCCATCTGTGCACGGTGGACATGAAGTGAGCGCGGGCGCACGCGCGTGCGCGCGCACACACACACACACACACACACAGGCGCAGCGACACACAGGCCTGGCTAACGCCCAACCCAGAGACACCCTGTTTTCTCTTTAATCACAACGGACAACGTTTACCTTGAACATCCGGATCATTCATCAGATGCTCCTGCAGACTATCGAGGACTTTCTGAATCTCGCTCCGGGCCACACAACTGTGGTGCACGGTCTCGGGCCTGCTGCAGCCCTTTTCCTGGGGCCCAGCCTCACTCAGAAATAGCTCTAGGTCCTTGCTTATGTCAGGGAGAGGAGTTCGCCAATAAATGAAATTACTGAATACATCCTCAGGACTCTCTGGGCAGGTACAGTAGCCCGGTCCAGGGTGGCAGTGGATGGGGAGGTTGTCCCCATCAGGGAGCTTCAGGGAGGCACCGGCCTCCGGGGAAAGCCTGGCTGACTCAGCTCCAGTCAAGGCAGAATCTTCCACTGAGTTTGCCATGAGGCCACCAGAGGAGCTACTGCTGTGCAGGAGATCGCTGGTTCCTGTTGATGCGCCCTCCGTGGGCAGGTCCGGCTCCGTGTGTACCAGCTTCGTGGAACTAGGGGAAGATTGAGGGGAGTACTTTTAGCGCCATGTAATGGACTGGAAGTAAAATGGGAAAACGTGAGCTCCACGTCCTCCCAAGCCCGGTCCTCCTCTCTACCTGGCCGCCCGACCTCCTGTGTCTCCCAGGGACAGAAGCTCATAAGCTCACAAGAGCTTAAAAGGTCCAATCATCCCCCTCTGCCCACCTGGGAGTATTATGTGTGCTGAAAATGTCTCGCACAGTTCAGCCGATCCCTCCATTCTATTCAAGTGGTGGATGAGCCCTGGCTTCTGCTGACACGCCCTCAGTGGGCAGACTGCACGCACTCACTGCTCGCCAGTACCTCCACCAGGGGGCAGCCACCGGGGCACAAAAGCCCCCGAAACCACTGGGTGAGTCCTGAGCAGGAAGGTGCTGCACACAGGCCGGACACAGAGCAGGAGCTCAGTGAATTTTGACGGAGACAGATGGAGGGAAGGATGCACCAGTGGTAAAAAGGATATGTACTCTCTGAGATGTAAAGTATCACTCTCCTGCTCCCGTGTGATGCTAGCAGGGGAGAGACACTTACCAACGACCTCGAATGGTCTGGTTGGTGTGTACCCATCGGCCTCCGAGGAAAGATGAGAAACTCCAAGATCAATCACTAGAACTTACTAGAAAGGCAGGATGGCGTCCACTAATGGTGGGTCAGGACTGTCACCTGTACGTGCAGGTAACATCCTATATTTATGGGCATGTAACACTGCATGGTACAAACAGACATTTGGGAGACCTCACATCTTCCCTATGTAAATTATCCAAAGAACTTCATTAATCAAAAAGTAAGAGAAAATTTTCTTTATAGGTTATTTAATCACTACTCTCAATGAATATTTTATCTAAATTTAGGAGACACAGTAGCTTCATTATTTATAACCCAGTAGTCATGTTTCAAAATCATTATTGCAATTACTTTTGCTTCTTTACATAATTAAAGCTCTAATATCCCATCTTGCCCAGAAGGTCACTGTTACTAAAACTCTAGACAAGATAATTGCTAAAATTTTAGGTAGACACTTCAGGTGAAGCGCGGGCCCTGGTAATTATCCTGCTTGGAGCTCACCAGGCCGAGGAAGTGTTACCACAACTGCCCGCACTGGGTGACCCGGAGGCGAGAGCAGAGTCCAAATCCTGAGCTGGTGGTCGGATGCTCAGGGTGCCGTCTTCTCGAATATAGAGGCCGGCCCTGGAGGGGTTCGCAAAGGTGGAAATGAAGGGGCCCAGGGACTGGAAGGCAGCCTGGCGCACCTGCAAACAGAGAGCACAGCGCGGTGAATGTGGCGTCGGCCAGGTGTGACCCAGGCCGGGCAGCTGGCCGACCACCAGGCTGGTCGCTGTCCGCCGAATTAGGTCCAAGCAGATTTACTGCTTCCTAAGGCGTTCTCCAAATTCCAAATCGACTCTTTTCAACAGAAATAAGGAGAACTTTAGTACCATCACGCAGTTTTTATTCTTCTAGAATTTTAATTCCACATCAAGCAAGTCCAGACTTCATAAAGCACCTGACCAGACCGTATGAATCATGACAGGCGTGTTTGTGAGAGTAACAGCAAAGGTCACTCTCCACTGAGTGTTTCCCTTCTCACTCCTCAGCCCTATGATGTCCGGTCACTACAAATGTTAGGGCGTGTGCCCCCTTCTTCACAGGCACCCAAGCTTTGGAGATTTCGAGTGCTCCAATCCCCACGAGGTCTAAGTAAGCCAATCAGGAACCGAAAAGACAAAATACATAGTCACAAGTCCAGAGGCCAAGATGAGGCCAGTCAGCGAGCCGCGGCTGGTGGCCCACGCGGCCGAGCTGCCCGCACTTACCCATCGGCAGGGGTCACTGATGAGCTTGATGAAGAGGGGTGACAGCTGGGCTCTGCGGACCTCGGGGGACGCGCTGTAGGACACCGCCATGAAGCACTCTGCGCAGGCTTTTCGCATCCCCCAAACATTATCTGAGCAGAGCTCAAAAAATTTTGGGATCTACCAAAGCAAATAAAACCATGCTACTCAAACTTGGCTACCCTGAGGAAGGGCAGAACCTTTTTTAATGATGTAATTAAGGCACAGCCATAAATTAACGACCAAGAAGAGGGAAATATATACTAGTCTAAAAGGAATCATTTGAGACAAAGAGAAATTATGGTAAGAAAAATAAAGAAACATTTCCTTTACCTCTTAATTCTAGTAAATGACTTGGTTAAAAGGCAGAATGACTAATATTCACATAGCTATGTGAATTATATAGAGAAAAATTGTGAAATGACCTTGAAATTGAGTGGATATCCCAACTAGCTCACCCCTCCAGGTATTACGATCTTTAACTAGGGTCTTTTAGTGATAGAAGGTATATTGTTAAAAACCGATAGTAATGCAAATAATTCCTGTTCACAGAAATGCAAATTGTGTCCAGTGGAATGCACCTGATTATCACCCTGGATGCTGAGCAATTTTGAATCCCCTTGCAAGGTCACTTCAGTATCCTCTGGTCTGACCATACATGTGTGGTACTTTGAGTTCTCCATTAAGCCAGGTATTGTACCTTACTGTTTCCCTCGTGAATAAATGACTTAAATAAAATCTTTGGCATGTTCGCTTTCCATCTGTATGAAGGTCATGATCACATCGTCTTTTAAAATTTATCCTTTAATGGGGCGCCTGGGTGCCTCAGTCGGTTAAACATCTGACTCTTGGGGTGCCTGGGTGGCTCAGTCGTTAAGCGTCTGCCTTCGGCTCAGGTCATGATCCCAGGGTTCTGGGATCGAGCCCCACATCAGGCTCCCTGCTCGGCGGGAAGCCTGCTTCTCCCTCTCCCACTCCCCCTGCTTGTGTTCCCTCTCTCGCTATGTCTCTCTCTGTCAAATAAATAAATAAAATCTTTAAAAAAAAAAAATCTGACTCTTGATTTCGGCTCAGGTCATGATCTTAGGGTCATGAGATCGAGTCGGGCATCAGGCTCTGCACTGGGCATGGAGCCTGCTTAAGATTCTCTCTCTCCCTCTCCCTCTGCCCACTCCCCCTGCTCCTGTGCTCTTTCTCTAAAAAATATTAATAAATAAAATTTATCCTTTAAAAATGAGGCTCTGTTTTTTATATCCTAATGTAAAATAATCAGCCAAAATGCCCCACAAATGGGAATATATGATCATGGAAATATCCGCCCACAGGAAGGTTAGTATGTTGGTCACTGCTGTTCTTCATTCAGATACATTAAGTAGAAGACAACAGTTGCTGTACATTCAGAACGACAGCCCACTAAAAATTATTTTGGGGTCAGAACTATGCTGACATGGCTTGCACTTGAAATAAAATAAAATGAGCTTCTGAACTTAAATTTAAAAATCAATTTAAAGAGTATACTTTTTTGAGGTTAAATTCTAACCACACAGGTTAGATATCCTGTCCAATAAAAATCCTGTCCAGTAAAAGTCAAATAAAAATACAGGTTGGATATCCTGTCAAATAAAAGTGGCAAGCACTTATTTAGCATAGTTCTGCGTAGGCACCAGGGAAACAGAGCTGAACATGATAGGGTGAAGATCCCACATCAGCAAAACTATAATGAGGTGTGATAAGAGACACGCATGTACTCTGAGCAAAATGTTATGGGGATGCTGAAAAGGGAGAAATTAATTCTCTCTGGCACAGTGGGTAGGTGAGTCTAGACAAGGAGAGGACTTGACAGAGGCATATGCACATTCAAGCTGGGTTTGAAGTGTGAGTTGGGTCCCACCAGGTGGGGAAGACACTGGAAAGAGAGGGGCAGTAATGAGCAGAGGTGTGGAAGGGGGAAAAGCAGAAAGCCTCAAGGGAGCTGAAAAGCCACCCACTGGCTAGTGAAGTGGTTCTCTGCCCTGCTGTGCATCAGAATCACGAGGGGATTTATCAGAAATGCAGACCCCTGGGCCTTACCTGCCTCCCCGCCTCCCTGCCCATCCCATGAGTCAGATGCATAGCCAAAGGTGAGACCTGCCCAGGCCGGGACAGTGTTCAGACTTGAGGAAGGCAGCTGGAGGTGAGGCAGGAAAGGCACTGATGAGGGGACCCAAAAGGCCAAAGAGTCTGGATTTTAACCTGTAACCTAGAAAAATCCCACTGGTCTTGAAGCCCAGGAGTGAGATGGTAGAACAGTGTTCTAGAAAGAGCAGTGGAAAAGAGACAGATAGAGTGGCTTAGACAGTGAGAAGAGACCAGGGAAAGCGACCAGTGAGGAGGTAGCAGCAAAAGCCCACAGGAAAGTGGGCTGGGGTGACATCCACGCCGTTCCATGGACCAGCTGCCTACCGCTTATGAAAAAACGTTGGCTTCGGAAGTCAAGAAATTTGGAACTGATGAATGCAAAATTGAGCTGTCATTCCAAAGTAACAGATTCATAAATACAAAACTTCACAACCAATTCTAAAAGTACCCTAAGAAATGCACTAGCAATTACGACTGGCAAAACTTCACATACCAAAAATTTCTCAGTGGCTTCTTGTCCAACGGCGTGACAAATATCACCAAAATTTGTAGCACACACCTTAAAAAGGCAAAAGGCATACCTGTTATTGTCTGCTTTTTTTTTTTTAAGATTTTATTTATTTATTTGACAGAGAGAGACACAGCAAGAGAGAGGGAACACAATCGAGGGGAGTGGGAGAGGGAGAAGCAGGCTTCCCGCGGAGCAGGGAGCCCGATGCGGGGCTCGATCCCAGGACCCTGGGATCATGACCTGAGC